CCTTCTAACCAAACACTGGAAACCCATAAAATGATTTCCAGAAATTATTTTCAATAAGTTTTATTCAAGTTCTTGAAACTATTTCAGACACAAAACTTCTTAATCGAAAGCAAAGAAGTTAATCCGATAGACGAATCAGTTATCAATTCGTGTTCGTTTAACAAGGCACTTGTATACATAAAGATAATAATAATTAATATTAATTTAATATTTTAATTAAGATGGAATAGTGTTGTAGTACTTTCTAAGCCACCAAAATTCATGAAAATTGCAGCAACCAAACCACAGACCAAAAATCAGCCATGTCTGGGACAAAACATTCTTCTACCTTAACTGGCACATGGCACCATTTTTAGGTCAGGGTCATGAGTCATGATCTAATATTTGAGGTGGTCCACCAACTATGTATCTATATCACTATATGTTGTATGCCGATTCAATTAAAGTTATTAAACAATTTTTTTTTTAAAGTTATTAATTGTGTTACCAACCAACCCTTCTGGCTGTCATAAGTCATGACATTAAATACTACTCGTAGTACTTTTTGGTTTTAATTCATTTAACCAAACCTCATAAGTCAAAATAACAAAAATTATTGTTGAAGGTGCATATATAAAATATGAAATGTGAGGTAAACATACAAATATTTAAGAATATATATATATATATATATATATATATATATATATATATATATATATATATATATATATATATTAATTGTCGACTAATTTTATACTTAAAAATAATGCACTTTAATGATATATAACACGATAAATAAAATATAGAGGTTAGAGCAAAGTATAGAAACTCGTATTTTTTTTACCCATTTTATTTTGTTTTTAATTAGACCCTTGAAAGTCTGAAACACGTTGTGAAAACATTTTTAATTACAAAAATGACCTCAAAATATTTTGGAAAATTGAAAATGGGTTCAAAATACATGAACCTGTTAAATTCCACCCCCCCCCCCCCCCCAACATCCCTACCCAACACACATACCCATAATGAAAACAAATAAACATGAATCTTAGTAGCTGTAGTGTGGTAGTTCACCATTTTGTACGGGAAGCTTTTTTATAGGCACTAAGCACATTCTAAGGTGTCGCTGATTACAGTAATTTACTACTACACAATTTTGTCAACCCACGGTGTGGGGACCTTTAGGGAGAGGGATTTTTCCTTTGAGCCAAAACAAATAAGCAAAAAAAAAAAAAAAAAAAAACAATAAAAAGTGAGAACGAATATGATATATTTATTTAGGTAGATTAATGGTTGAGGATTGTTAAAAGAAAAATAGACAAGTCAATTTTAAAAATATTACAAATTGAAATTTTGTAAAAGCATCCTCATCAATTCTGATTTTTTGAAGGTTTTTGACAAGCCACATATAATGGTGAGGGGAGATAAATTTAAAAAAAAAAAAAATAGAGAGAACAATTGCCAAATCTCATCCTTAACTTTCTAAATTTGATAAAAACAATTATGGGGTTGGAGTGTATTTGTTAAAATATACAATAGTAGCTTGAAGCCCTGAGAAAAACTGCAACATGTGAACATGATATCCATGTTTACACAATAATATAATTAATATGTTGCATGTATGTATTAAACTCCGTGGCTTGATATGTTAGTTGGAGCTAACCTATCCCATATTCAAACTTATATTCATATATTATACCTAACTAATTAATTCAGATTCCAATTATTATTCAATCTTGTGCACACGCCATGCGATATTCAACCTTTAAAAAAAAAATCTCACCCCTTTCAAGTTTCAAAGTACATACAAATAGTCCAAAACCGTAACTATCTATATATTTAAGTGTCATTATCATATAAACTATAGAAACATTTTAGAATCATTTTGATATTTACAATGAGATAAAATTTATGACTTTTTAGTCATGGAATCTCTTCATCAAATAATTTAAAATCTTGATTAATGAAAATATTTGTCCAGCGAAGTGTGCGGTTTGATTCCTTACTAACATTGAAGGTTTGGTTTGGGTTGAATTTTACGTGCACAGAAATATATTATTTGGTTTTGATTTTAAATTAAATTTACTCAATTTTTTGTCTTATAGACTTGATGATAAATTTATGGGGTTCATGATATAGTCCAGTGAAATCAGAAAATCTATCTTATCAAAAAAACAAAATTAAATATGTGATAATCAACTTTATTCCCAGATTTGAATTTGGACACCGTTTGATTGAATGGAGATTTGATCAAACTTAAACCTACCCATGACTACCAATCTAATCTTCTAATCTAACTCTTAGAAGAGGGGTCCATTTGCTTTGTCTACATGCCCTTGCCCTCTCTTTCCATATTCCAAATCAACCAAATAAATCCTTCAATCTAATTTGAGTAGAAAGAGGTTGAATTTGCCAATAAGGTCTTGAAAACTAGAGCCGACAAAGAATTCTACTATTAAAAAAATTGAACAGTTCTTCAATCACTCATTCTCTATGGAACTTAAAAGGACCTTCACCTATAGAAACTTTAAACCATTAGTCCATATATATAAGAGTAATTAATCATTGAAACAGCCTCTCGGTAGTAATTTATGTATACCATTCTTTTTTCGGTGAACCCATTAGTTTCATTATTTTATAACTAAAACCTTATGAATTCAGGTTTGGTTACAATAATAGATAATTCAATTCAAACCAAATCGTAATCATGCCTTTTCACACTTTAATTATTGACTTTCAATTTTGTGCAATAATGTCTCTAATTATCAAAATTGTATCCATTTTAATATTTTAAAAGACAAAAATAGATAAAGTTCTGAATAGAATAGTACATATAATAATTAATTAATGACATTATGAAAGGAAATAAAATAAAGCCGTGAAGTGCATTTGATAATTTACTCCCTATTTAATTATACTGTATAACCAGGACTATGTGGTCTAATGGTACCCGGGTTGGACTTCCATTTAGAAGATTACGAGTTCAAGCCTCAGTGGAGGCGTTATTGGTTCTTTGTGTTTCAATAGGTTGAGAAAGTATATGAACGGATACTACAATGTAGTAGAGCCAGTAACTTTCAAAAAAAAAAGCCGGAATTTAATTACACCAGAATAATTCCTGTGTCTAGGATGGTTAGTTGCTTATTGTTGTTATTACTTACTAGTAATTCAACCGCGCGATGCACGGGAAAAAATTATGTTATTATAAATAAAAAACTAAAATATTTTAAATTATTTAATATAATAATATTTTTGAGCTTCCATTGGTCAAGTATTTATTATTTTTATAGAATACAAAATTACAATTAAAATTAAAATTTTGTATGATTAATATAATCTCTAGTTATGTGCATATTCAAATAAACTTATATAGAGAATTTACATAATTACATTGATTTATTCTTAATTGTATTTCATCTATATTATAATTTTCACAAAACGAATAATAACTAAGATAATTACATTTGGAAAGCAAATTTCAAATTTTGTATGAGTAAATTTAAACTCTAATTGAACACAATTTTTATATGATTATATAATATATAGCTATTTTATTTTTCAAAAGTACATTTTTTATATGATTATATAATATATAGCTATTTTATTTTTCAAATGTTGTGTATTTTTTTTTTATAATAAAAGATGTTGTGGCATTAATTGTAATATTAATTACTTCCCAAACCATATAGATTTATTATAGTTAAGATTATTCCTTTATTTATTTATTTATTTTTTTGTAACGAGAGAAACTGATTGTCATTGTCCAAGAGTATATACATGGACAGTTTTTAGATTTTTGTGGCCCCGTTCTGGTAATAAATGAGGCCCTACCAAAATCACAATCTTTAAAACCAATACAGTAATTTTTTTCTAATAATAATAATAATAATAATAATAATGTAGTAAAATGTTGTTGTGCTCAAAAAGAAGAAGACATATTATGGAATAAATTATAATAATAATAATAATAATAATAATAATAATAATAATAATAATAATAATAATAATAATATTGGTGTGAGCGCAATGCAAAAAGATTAAAAACAAAGGGAGACATCCAATGCTAGCTGCACGTTTCGAACCTCTAACCTCTAAATTAAAACACAATAAACACCTATTTCTACCACTTCTCCATTGAACATCTTAAGTTTAATTGAAAATTTTTATTATTTTTTCTTAACTAGCTAGATAAAAATTAAATATTGAGCTCTTTAAAATTTGGAGCCCTCTAAAATTTGGAGGCCCTGTACGGTAGCCCAAAATTCGGCCCTGAGTATATATTGGTCTTGCCTTCAGTGCAATAGTCTGTAAATCATTTAAGAAAGGTAAACCCTATCGAGTAGCTTAGGTGATTCTTGCATAGCAGATTATGTGCAAGGACACAACTTACACAAGGGGGTGTTTGGTAAATACTCCCTCTGTCCCTAATTGATTGTCTCATTTGCTTTTTGCACTACAACATAATAAATGTTATTAACTTTCCAATTTTGCCCCTCAAAAGTAGTGTTATTTGTACAAAGTACAATTGTACTTACCTCTAGAAATTTGAAAAGTCAAAATGGTAAATTGGAAAATGTAGAGTGATAGTTATGTTCAATTTTAGAAAGATGACAATATTTTGGGACAAGCTAAAATGGAAAGTAAGACAGGTAAAATGAGACGGAGGGAGTAGTTGTTAGCTTATAGGGTTGTGGGTTTGACTAGTTGATAGCATTAGACATTAGCTGATTGTAGAAATATGTTTGATAAATTAACTGTTAGTTAATAGCTGATTACATACAAAATGATTTTCTCAAAAAACTGATGGAAAAAACTAGTTTGAGCAGCTTTTTGAATTTTAGTGTTTTAGAACAATAAACTGTTACATAATTAATCAAAAAACTCCTATATATTGCTTAACGAAGTCAAATAGTTAATAGTGGTCAAAATGAATTGATATACTATCAATGTAGTGGGCTCCTTGTGGATATTAGGAATGGTCCTTTATTTATTTTTAATTTTTATATTAGCCACGTTGTTTTCTTCCCCTGTCTCAACTCTCAAACATGGCAAAACCTTTATAGAGAAAACAGGGGAGTAGGTGTATCCATTCTTTAATTTAATTCAAGAATGAGCAACACCGCCGGGCACCGCCATTGTTACCGGCGGCTCTGCACCTACTATTTCTTAATTTCCCAGACTCTCATTCTCATCCTCCCAACTCTCACCGCACCTCTTGTACTCGACTCCATCACCCCGACGCGCCCCCTCGCCGGAGACCAAACCTTAGTCTCCTCCAACGCGCTTTTCGAGCTGGGCTTCTTCACCCCTGAAAACTCCGGCCGATGGTACGTCGGGATATGGTACAAGGACATCGAAGAGAAGACCGTCGTTTGGGTCGCTAACAGAAACACACCTCTCACTAACGCCACCGGCCGGGGAGTTCTGAGAATCGGCGAAGATGGGGGTATTTATTTGGTGGACGGAGGTGGGAATTCAATCTGGTCGTCGGAGACTCCGACCCGGCCCGGCCCGGGGAACACGGTGGCAGAGCTCCTGGATTCCGGGAACTTTGTTCTTCGCCGGGAAAATGACCGGAGCGAGGAGAAATATCTCTGGCAAAGCTTCGACCACCCGACAGACACATTGCTACCTGGTATGAAACTAGGATGGGATTCTAAGACCGGTCTGAACCGGTACATATCGTCCTGGAAAACCGCGACCGATCCGGCGGAGGGAGATTTCTCCTTCAAGCTCGACACCAACGGCTTGCCGGAAGCGTTCTTGAGGAAAAAAAACGACGTGATTTACGGGAGCGGAGCGTGGAATGGAATCCGGTTTAGCGGCGTCCCGGAAATGAATCCGACAGCCATCATAACATTCTTATTTGTCACGACGAAATCCGAGAATTACTACACGTTCGAGCTCCACAACCAGACAATCTTCTCGAAGCTCCAGGTCAGCCATGGCGGGTACTTGGAGCGGTACATGTGGATTCCGACGAGCAAAATCTGGAACAAATTCTGGTACGCGCCGGCCGACCAGTGCGACTATTACAAGGAATGTGGGCCCTACGGGATCTGCGACACCAGCATTTCGCCGGTGTGCGAGTGTTTGGTCGGATTCGGGCCGCGGAACAAGCAGGCCTGGGATTTGCGGGACGGGAGGGACGGGTGCGTTAGGGTTCACGATTTGGACTGCGAAAACGATGGGTTTTTGGCGTTGAATTACATGAAGTTGCCGGAGAGTTCCGGCGCTTTTGTGGACGCCGGCATGAGCTTCGACGAGTGTACGGCGATGTGCAAGAGGAATTGCTCCTGCGCGGCGTACGCCAGCTCGAATATCACCGGCGACGGGTCTGGGTGCGTCATGTGGACGACGGAGCTTCTTGATATGCGGCGGTACACGGCGGCGGAAGGTGGACAAGTTCTCTACGTTAGGGCGGCTGCTTCCGACGTAGGTACGTACTACGTTCCCATTTAGCTTTTTGAATTTTTCTTTTTCACTTTTTTAGAGAAAACAAACTACTAATTACGTTAAACTGAACTCAATTTTTTTTTTTTTTAAAACTGTATTTACACAATGATTATAATTGACGTACTACAACTCTAGTTTGAGGAATATGTGAATACTATTGACTAATGTACAAAGGTCAAAAGTAAAATTTTTAATAATGTTTATTTCTTCTAGTTTGTAAACTATTACACATGTATAAATCGAATTTATTTAGTGCACAATTTTAAATAGTAGTCGTACCTAAAAAATAATGAGTAAAAGGTACAAACCAAAAGGATTGACTAATGTACAAAGGTCAAAAGTAAAATTTTTAATAATGTTTATTTCTTCTAGTTTGTAAACTATTACACATGTATAAATCGAATTTATTTAGTGCACAATTTTAAATAGTAGTCGTACCTAAAAAATAATGAGTAAAAGGTACAAACCAAAAGGATTGACTAATGTACAAAGATCAAAAGTAAAATTTTTAATAATGTTTATTTCTTCTGGTTTGTAAACTATTACACATGTATAAATCGAATTTATTTAGTGCACAATTTTAAATAGTAGTCGTACCTAAAAAATAATGAGTAAAAGGTACAAACCAAAAGGAAAACCCGTGTAAATCCAAAGATTGTATTTATACTAGCAAAAGATATTACTAATTGTATAAGTTGGTCAAACTTTTAAATGTGAAAATCATTTATGTTTGACTTAATAAATATTTAGAGTCGAATTAAGGTCAACTTTTAAAAAATAAAACTTGACTGTGGTTAAATAAAATTTTAAACTTTTGGTGTTTTGTCTTAAGTTGACTCAATTATGACATAAGGTAAAATGTGAAAATTCTATATCACATAGGATTAAATGTTTTTGCACCGCAAAAAAAAAAAAAAAAAAAAAAAAAAAAAAAGTATTGGATAAATCATATCCAAAATGATCTATTTATGAAAAAATTAAATAAAAAATAGGAATAAAGAAAATAGAGATGTAGTTGTACTTGGAAAATTTATGAAGTTCAACTACTATTCTGTATTAGAAACAATAATAATTTGACAACACTAACTTTGAAAATGACATGAGAACAACCTATGCTGTTTTGTCCAAGCTGCTGCCTTCATAAATGCAATGCTGTTTTATTTTTTTATTTTTTTCTATAATGCAATACACCAAAATTAAACTAACCCTAATTAGAAAATAACGAGTGTTTGACCTAGCGATTTTAAATCCTATGACCGTACCGAATCTCATTCCGATTACTTTATTTGTTTCATTCCTTTTAGTATTTTGAAATTGAGTTTACATTTTGAAGGGATGAAAAAGGTTATTCTACCTTGAAATTTCATTTGTGTATCCCAAAATGGAAAATGGGAATGAAAAAATCGAACATCTTCACACACACACAATTAGGTTCAAATGAGAACATCTGTTATCATATGAACTTATGTATCATTGTGCACTATCGATTTTACTCGATCTTGTGATTTATAATAATTTTAACATGATAAATGTACATTACTGCACCACTACACGACTGCACAATTGCACCACTCTTTAGATTCCAATCGTCTAATCTCACATCTCATTGGTGAATAAGAGTTCACAAATTCACATCCCAAAACAGTGGTTCTCACTTGAACCGGACCCTGGTGTTTGTCACATAGTCACGTTACATATTTCCTATCACTATTCTTGAATTGGTTGAGTGAAAGGCTTAGGTTAATTAAGTAGGTTGTCAATCACTTGATAATATTTTTAAAATTAGTGTTAATAAGGTTAGATCAATTCCAACAAAAAGAAGTTGGACTAGAAAAGGTTATTGAAAGCAACTTCAAACCTTTAATTGGGGTTGGGGCCCAGCCGTGCCGGCTCCATTCTCCAATGTGCAATGTATTGCACACGCCACACGTGACGTGGCCGGCTATATTGACATGGGAAAAGTTTCCTTTTACAACCAAAAGAGTAAATACCAGCAGAGGTCCTCCGACTTTGGTGGCACTGTCACTTTTAGTCCTCAATTTTTAAATCAACCACTTTTAGTCCTCTTACTTTTTGTCTTTTAAATAAAAAAAAATTATTTTTTATCATATAAAAAAAAAAGAGAAATTTCTTTGTCCCAAGGTCTCTATATTGACAGGGTAGTAGACGGGTAAATACTTAATGACTTATTAAGAGCTCATTAAGTGGGAGAATAAGTGTCTAGTACCTACAAAGAGCTTATCACATTAGGTGGTATTCCCACAATGTGGTTGCCAGGTTCAATCATGTGTCCTTGATCACAACCTATCACACAAGAATCAACAACGTTGTCTGCAGACAAAATTCATTCTTTATTGTCCCTAGGATGTTGGTTTAGTGGATGAGAGGTCTCACTTAGCACTTGCTTTCAAAGCAGGTTTGGATTCCTTGTGCACACAAGTGTACAGTTTAGTGTTGGAGGTCTCGAATTTAGATTGACTCAATTTACTTCTTCATGTGTTAGGGGAAGGTTAATAGGCCTGATTAGCCGGGTTGATGTAGTTCAGGATCTAGTCCTACAAAATCGAAAAACCTGAGAATTAGCTTCAAGCTAAGATCCAATTGGACTGTCTTAAAAAAAAAACATGTATTTAATTTATGGTAATGATTTCAGTTGCAGTGCAAGGAGGAATTGCTGCAACAGGAAACCATAGTTCCAGCAAGACTAAACGGATAGTATTAGCCTGTGGCATCATTCTCGGCATTGCCATTGCTCTACTGGGATTCAGCGCACTGTTTCTGATTAAGAGAAGGAAATCACAGAGCGCCATGAGATACACAGATCACAGAGGTAATAAATTAAACCTGAAGATTGATTTAATTTTCTCCAGTGAACTGAAATCCAGTAATATATATAATCAATGTTATTTGTGGCATCTGAAACAGGTCTTTCTTCAGAAAGGGGTCATCAAGATCTTGTCATGAACGCGCCTGTCATCCCCAGCAAGCGCGACCACTCCGGTGAAACTGCAGCAGAAGAGTCGTTCGAGCTGCCCGTGTTCGATTTCAGCACCATTGTTGTCGCCACAGACAGTTTCGCTGACGCGAATAAGCTTGGGCAAGGCGGGTTTGGCTGCGTTTACAAGGTAATAATTAACTCGGGTTGTGAGTGGAGATCGAGATTAGAAATGAGGTTGAGAACACTGAGCTAATAAGATGTTCTTAATTGTTTGGATGGTAATAATTTATAATAACAGGGAATTATTGATGGTGATGATCAAGAAATAGCTGTGAAGCGGCTATCGAAGAATTCTGGGCAAGGAGTGGAAGAGTTCAAGAACGAGCTTAGACTGATAGCGAGACTACAACACAGAAATCTCGTTCGCCTTCTCGGCTGCTGTGTAGACATGGATGAGAAGATGCTGATATATGAGTACATGGAAAACAAAAGCCTGGACTCAGTTATATTCAGTAAGCTTCAATTCATTCTCTTCTTTGCCATATTACACCATACCCCAGACTCTCAAATCTGTGCATATATTTCAGATAGAACCAAAAGTGTGCTGCTTAACTGGCAAAAGAGGTTCAACATCATCCGTGGAATAGCTCGGGGGCTTCTGTATCTTCACCAAGATTCGAGGTTTAGAATAATCCACAGGGATCTCAAGGCCAGCAACATTCTCCTCGACAAGGAAATGAACCCCAAGATATCAGATTTTGGTATGGCAAGAATTTTCGGAGGGGATGAGACAGAAGCAAATAATACAAAGAGAGTAGTGGGAACATAGTAAGCACCAAAACCAAAATCTATCACTTAATATCTTCAATTCTATGACTTGTTTTGCTTGGGATTACTTTATATTTATAAGCTTTTTATACTGAAATGTGCAGTGGTTACATGTCTCCTGAATATGCAATGGACGGTCTTTTCTCTGTAAAGTCAGATGTTTTTAGCTTCGGGGTTCTAGTGTTGGAAATAGTGAGTGGGAAGAAGAACCGGGGATTCTACAATCAGAACAACCAACAGAATCTCCTAGGGCATGTAAGTATTACATCAACAAGAAGTCTACTTTTCTTTTTTTCTTGATTTGAGGGTGCACTGGGTAAATCTCCACCCGATAAAGGATCAGTTCAGATTGTTCATAATTGACTGACTCAAACCAAGAAAATGAATAGGCGGCTTCCACTGAAAGTCGAATTTGAAACCTTATAGTTACCAAACTAACAGCATAACCAACTTAGCTGAGTTGTCACAGTCTTCGTCTGACATGCAGAAACACTTTGTTCTGAGATTCCAATGTTTTCTGTCAGGCATGGGGGCTATGGAGAGAAGGGAGGGGATCAGAACTGCTCGATCCGGCCGTCGGAGAATCGTTTTCGCCAAGCGAAGTGATGAGATGCATACAGGTGGGATTGGTGTGTGTGCAGGAGCAAGCGGAAGACAGACCAAACATGGCAACTGTACTTTTGATGTTAAGCAGTGAAAGCACAACTCTTCCTCAGCCTAAACACCCAGGGTTTTGCCTAGGAATCAGAAGACGTGCCGACATCGATTCATCTGTAACGAACTATGATGAAACTCACAGTGTGAATCATGTGACGGTTACTATACTAGACGGCCGGTAGCTAGAGAATGAAACGCCGGCAGAAGCATGATAGTATAGTTGTATAGTTAAACACGTTCAAGGTTTTAATTTTATAATTTAATTTCTTCTTTCTTAAGTTTTGAAGATGATACATCACACATATTTTTGCATTACCTTGTAAAAATTGATTTTTTTTTTTTTTTTTCCTTCTTGATCCCGCATTATTAAGTTCAATGAAAGTTTGAAATAGGTGATGATCACAAGCCATATATGACATTGCAACATGAGGATGGGTAGTGTTCAACTGTTGGTTTTACCACCTTGAGTGGTCGTAGGCTGGCCAACATGCGAAAAACACTAAACAAGAATAAATATTGAAAACACTTTATTGTTTTGAGCTTGTAAAAAAATAGAACTTTCTTTTTACACTTTTTACAGAGTATTTATACAAGAGGTAGAACTTTTTTTACACCTTGTACAGGATATTCTTAACAAGTTGAAGTTAATTAGATGAAGATGATGGGTAGTAGAGGTGGATACGTACGGGCCGGTTCAAGACCGAATCAACCCTGAATTGATCCAAAAAAATCGGGTTTAGGCTTCAATGGACCTAGGTCAGGCCTAACTCGATCCAAGATCGACTTGAACATGACTGGTCCAGGTCCTATTAAAAAAAAAAAGTCCAGGGCCCATTTTGAAACTGGCTGAAAACTGGATTCAGGCACGACTCAAGCCCCTAACCGGTCCAAACACGGACTAGGCACAGACTTTGGCCCGTATGAGTTTGAATTAAAAAAAAAATAAAGTATTTTCAATTTTGCTTCTTCCAATACCCGTCGTTATATTGTGGACCGCAGTCAAAACGGCGTGCCGTTACTATTAACAGAGCGCGCATTTTTTGGTGTGTTAATTACCAATTGAAATTACAGTATATCTAAACTGACACAACAGTGTATCTAAACCGACACTGCCTCACATATTATTTTATATATTATCAAATGAATCTGCAGTTATATCAAAATGATATTGTAGTTGTGGTGAAATGAAACTGCAATGTATATAAAATGAAACTGAATAACATTTCACATATTTGAGTATATATTGTGCAATGAAGCTGTAGTTATATCAAAATGATCATGTTGTTGTGTTTTAATGAAACTATACTGTATATAAAATAAAATTAAACAACATTTTCACATATTTGAGTGTATAAATATCAAATGAAACTGTAGTTATGTTGAACTGAAACTGCAGTGTATACAAAATGAAACTGAATAACAGAGTTACTTTTTGCGGAACGGCACGAAACGGGTGCCTTTTTCTTTTCATTAAACAAAACGACGTCATTTTGAAACTCGGTGCATAATTGATTATGCACCGCGGTGCACGATATTTTTGCCTTCCAATACTATCTATAAATTTTTTTACTTGAAAACTTACATTTATTTGTTAATTGTCCATTATTGCATATTATATATTGTAGTACCTATATTCAATTCTAAGTTTATGTGTTTAAAAAGGACTTCAAAATTTAAATTATTTTGCTAAACTGATTAGAAAATGTGCTAAATGACTTATATTAAATAGAAACTTGATTAAGGTTGAATGAAATTTCAAACGTTGAAGTGTTTTGTCTCAAGTTCACTCAACTACATTAAGCAGTGAAAGCACAACTCTTTTCCTCAGCCTAAACACCCAGGGTTTTGCCTAGGAATAAGAAGACATGCCGACATTGATTCATCTGTAACGAACAACGATGAAACTTACAGTGTGAATCATGTGACGGTTACTATACTAGACGGCCAATAGCAGGAGACTAAAGCACCAGCAGAGGCATATGATAGTATAGTTGTATAGTTCAACACGTTCAAAGTTTTAATTTTATAATTTAATTTCTTTTTTCTTAAGTTCTGAAGATGATTGATACGCATATTTTTGCATTACCTTATAAAAATTGATTTTTTTTTTTTCCCTTCTTGATCCCGCATTATTAAGTGTTGGAAAAAAATAGCTTAAAATGACATAAAATGGCATATTAAGTGGCTATTTTGTGGTACAATTATCAGTGGGGTCCACTTCCGATTTGGGTCGGGTCAAAGTGGATTTGGGTTCTTCGTAGTGAGACGAAGAGATTGATATATTGTACGCTCAAAACGGATAATGGGTGAATGAAATATTGATTCTCAAAGTAGATCGAAAAGGCTTAATTCAAGTCCGAACTCGTGTGCGCCGGAAATTGACTGGCCTTGCGGGCTAAGTTATGCACCTATTCTCGTGCTACAGAGAGCACGAGAGGTTGTGGTGCACCGAGAGCACAACTCTCGTGCATCGGTGACCACGAGAGGTGCACTCTCGGGTTGCACCACAGCACGCATGAGAGATGTACTCTCGTGTTGCTGGTCCTTGTGCTCTCGTGTGAACCTGCACCCCAACGGTCTGAAACCCGAAAGTTCAGTCTGTTGTACAAATTAAACTCATCTGTTACAGGTGTTAGTGGGTGGCTGTTACAGGTGTTACACAATTGGTTTTAATACCAATTTAATGGCCATGCTGAATGTTATCCCTTCCAACAGCCCTATATAAAGAGAGGTAAAGCAGTAGCATTTTACACTACAGAAACAAAAGGAATTCCAGAAAGTTTTAGCTTCTCAACAACTCTGCTTCTACTCTCTTCTTTAGCCAACCAGTGTTCTTGTCTTGCTTTGTTTGTCGGGTTCTTTGTTTAGGTGCTTAAACAAAGAATCGTAGCATGTTTTATCCTGGGAAACCTAGGCTACAACGCTCCTAGCACTTAATTGTGGGAGGTAGCAAATAAGGTTTTAAGGAAAAGAACTTTGTGTTCGAACTCGTGTTAACCTCTACCCAGTTTTCCCACCTTTTCCTTCCCAATTTTCTGTTTTTCCCATAGAATAATAATCTTTCTGTAGGATTATTATTTTGAGATTTTCCACCTTATTACCCAACATTAAGTTCAATGAAATAGGCCAGGTGATCACAAGCCATGACATGACAATATGAGGATGGGTTGGGTGCGAAGCACTCTATTCGAGGCTGCTTGACCAACCACCTGGGTCCTAGTATATCATCTATCAGGTAGTTGTTAAAAATTTGCATTTAAATAGATGAAGATGCATAGTCTTAACAAGTTGAAGTTAAGTAGATGAGGATGATGTATAGTCTAAAGTTTAAAGCCAGTTCGAACAAATTGTAACTAAAGCATACCTCTATTGAGATGAAGGATATTCACAACAATATGAATGCTAGATCATGATTATGCTAATAGTTTTCATTTTAAAATGTTAAATATTAATATATATGTAAACAAAACAATTTAAATTCAAAACTATTTAATTTTTTATGAAGATGTCCTTTTTAGTTTTATTTTTTTATTTTTTATTTTACATTTATCAGTTGATCAAAAAGTTAATTTTACCAAGCACTTTTAAACATAACTGCAGCTAGCTTAACAACTCCTCAGTTTTCAGCTTCTAGCTTCTAGCTTTTCAGCTTTCAGCTACCTTTTCAGTTATGTTTGCCAAACACAGCTATAGAGTTGTGGAACCTTGTAAGCTTCCTTCTTCAATTCAATGCGCTAGTTGATATCTTGTATGAAAATGAAGTGTCCAAATTTATTGCAGTTGCTATATGTCACCTGAATATGCATGTTATGAGCTGAGAGGACTATTTTTTTTTGAGAATTTCGATGTTTATAGCTTTGGAAGAATACTGATGAAGGTTATCAGTGGAAGGATCATAAACTGTGGATTCCATAACTAAGATAATGTCAGCCTTCTAAAATTGAGTTATTCAAATTCAAAAAAAATTAAAACTTGATTGAGGTTGAATGAAATTTCAAACGTTGAAGTGTTTTGTCTCAAGTTCACTCAACTACTTAATGGTAGGTGTTAATGTTTACTACCAGTGAAATAGCAAGAAACTGAAGACCCATGATAGTATCATATATATATAGTAAGCATGGAACACGAAAATCTAATATGCACATAAATCTGTAATCTCTCACATACATCTATCTGCCTTCAGTTAAGGAAACAGTGATTTCATTTCTGGAGCTGCGTGACTTGGAATCAGAATCCAACAAGCTGTGGAATGTGAATGTTGGTCGTTTTGGCTGAGGAATATCTACTTCACTACATAGCATCAACACTACATTTGACATTGTTGGCCTGTCTGATACATGGTCCTGCACACAAAGCAATCCTATCCTTATACACCGCACTGCTTCTGTAAAACAACACGAGTTGCTAATTGATTCGTCGATAAGATCAACTTCCCTGCTTTCAATCCACAATTGCCATACCTGAAAATATTTTTTAAAATTGAGAACAGTAAATTTTATACTTGTTAAATACTTAAAATTTTATCTAAAATGATGCACTTAATTACATAATTGAGAAGGCTGAAATGCTCTTCATTGCTATGGAATCCACCGTTTTTCCTACCACTCACAACCTCCAACAATACTACACCAAAGCTATAAACATCGGACTTCTCAGAAAATAATCCTCTCATGACGTATTCGGGTGACATATAACCACTGCAACAAAAATTTTAGCATTACAAGATCGATGTCAACTAGTTTTTATTAGTTAAAGAATTCAAGATCTTTGACCATTAAAGAAGGAAGCTAAGCTTACAAGGTTCCCACAACCCTATGAGTATTTGCTAGTTCTTCTGTTGCCCTGAATGCTCTCGCCAACCCGAAGTCTGAGATTTTTGGGTTCATGTCTTCATCCAATAAAATATTGCTAGCCTTGAGGTCTCGGTGAATAATCCTCAAACAAGAATCTCTGTGGAGATAGACAAGTCCTCGGGCTATACCTTGTATTATGTTCCGACGTTTTGCCCAGTCAAGTTGTACCTTTTTCGTTGGATCTAATGTATCATTGCACAAATGAAAATAATTTTTTGACAAAGAACAAGTTATAAAAGAACTATAAAGTTTCTAACATGATATATTCAAGATTATGCAAAAGCATGTATTACCAAAGAGGATAATATCCAAGCTTTTATTTTTCATATGCTCATAGACAAGTAACTTCTCTTCACCATGAATGCTGCAACCTAATAGCCGAACAAGATTTCTATGTTGGAGTTTGGAGATCAATAATATTTCATTCTTGAACTCGTCAATGCCTTGTCCTGAAAAACTATATAGCCTTTTTACAGCTATTTCTTGCCCATCTGTTAATATCCCCTACACAAAATTTTTAGTAGTTCTATATCAATCCAATAGTCATGCAACATTGGCTTCTACAAAGTGCACAATAAAATGGATAAACCATCATCACTACCCTGTACACGGGACCAAATCCTCCTGCACCAAGCTTGTTATCATCACTGAAGTTGTTGGTAGCCGCCACTAGTTCATCAAAACCAATTATTGGTAGCTCTAATGAATCCCCTAGTAATTCAATACTTTCTTCGTTTCCTATAACTACATGACAATAAGGTAAGATGTCAATCTTAGCTCGAAACGAATAGGCTGACCCAATAAAATATCAGTTCAATAAGGCAGATGGATGACTTGATCGAACAGGTTATATTCCGATAGCCCGAGCCACTTAACGCGGAGTATTACTTTTTTCATAAGTGATGTAGAACAAAATATACATGGAATTTATATTTAAGCTCATCTTTACTAGTTTTTTATAATTAAAATTTGTAAATAAAAATTTAATATATATTAATTAATAAATAAATTTATTACAAAATAAAATATTTTTATGAAAATAAAAAATAAAAAATAAAAATGTATTATAATTATGTAAATGTATTCATTATTTTTAGTTGAAATTTTAAAATTGAGGTTTAGATTTATTTAATAATGTATAAGTTTATATTTATTACCAGGACTATGTGGTCTAATGGTACTCGGGTTGAACTTCCATTTGGAAGATTATGAGTTCAAGCCTCATAGTAGGTTGAGAAAGTATATGAACATATTTATTAGCGTAAATGTACTAGTTTATTAAAATTGAAAAATTAGAATATTAATGTGAAATTATCAAAAATTGTAGTTGAGCCCGTGTAATAAGTTCTACACCTTGAAATTTTAAGATTAGGGTAAAAAAAATTTAAACTAGACCAAAAAGATTGAGTTAATTACCGAAATGGTCCCTTGACTATAGTGAAATTATCAATTTGGTCTTTAATTATTTTTCTTGACCAATTAAGTCCATCAACTTTAAAAATCTTAACCAATTTGGTCATCCGTTTGTTTTGTCGTTAGACATCCTTTAACTCAGGACTAAATTGGTAATTTTTCTATAATCAAGGGACTATTTCAGTAATTAACTTTCGGAGAAAACGGTGCATGTGATGACCGAAATGGTACCTTGACTACAGAAAAATTCTAATTTGGTCCCGAGTTAACGGATGTCTAACAGCAAAATAAACGGAAGACCAAATTGGTTAAGATTTTTAAAGTTGAGGGACTTAATTGGTCAAGAAAAATAGTCAAGAACCAAATTGATAATTTCACTATAGTCAAAGGACCATTTTGGTAATTAACTTAAAAAATTCATAAATTCGATAGTGCGATAAAACTAGTCGGAAACCAAACGGGCTGATGATCCAATTGACATCCTACAAGTAACATGAGATTCAGCCATCAACTGTGTCAATTGGATAACATTGTATTAATCTAAGACATATATATTCACCTCTTCTTTTCCTTCTAGCAACCATTGCATGAAAGCCATACCAGGTAGTTATGACCAGGAAGACAAGCCCTATGATTATTGATACTGATGATGCAATTAAAGCCAATCGTTGTCTCCCCTTTTTGCTGGGTCCTGGGTACATAGGCGAACAATTCAACCAAGAAATCATGAAACAAATAATCAACTAAAGAAGTAATTGTTGTAGCATGGACCATGATTTATCTTGTAATGTGGACATGTATTCGAAGTTGTGTGAATATAATAAAGGGAAAATGGTCAAATAAGTTCCTAAATTTTACACAAAAAGTAAATTAGGCCCTTAAAATTTGTAAAAGTTGCAATTAAACCCACAAACATGTTATTTTGGAGCAATGAAACCCACTAACCTGTTGGTGTCATGTAATTGCAGGTCAATTAGGGTTCTAGCCAACTCCAGCTAACCTTCGGCAAACATCCGACCAAATTCCAGTGACCTATGTCAAATACCAGCAACTGGCGACCATTGACGGTCGCCGATCGCGTTCTGCCATTGAAGGCGACCAAGTTGGCTACCTTCATCGGCAATGGAGAAGGCGACCAAGTTGGTCACCTTCTCCGACAGAACGTGACCAACGACCGTCAACGGTTGCCGGTTGCTGGTATTTGACATAGGTCGCCGAATTTGATTGGATATTTGTCAGAGGTTCGTCGGTGTTGGCTGGAACCCTAATTGACCTGTAATTGTAGGTCACTAACATGTCAGTGTGTTTCATTGCTCCAAAATAACATGTTTGTGGGTTTAATTGCAACTTCTACAAATTTAAAGGCCTAATTAACTTTTTGGGTAAAGTCGTTTATGAGTTTATTTGACCATTTTTCCTATAATAAATAAAAAGTATGACTAAGAACTTAAGAAGTATATATATACCAATAAGGTCAGACGCAGGCATTCGAACGTATAGATCCTGTGCTTCACTATAATACAATCTCATGTCGTGTAAGTCACCATACCACACAGCACATCCAACAACCTCAGCCCAAGCATAGGCTGAACAAGAACAATTACCTAAGCACGCCTTTTCGCAATCTCCCAAACTCATTGCTGTCCCGTTCCCCAACATCCTGGAATTGTCAGGCAACTTTATGTCTGACAACTTCTTGAACCCTTGCGGTTCGCTACAGTTCAACGCCTTCCGCCGAACACAACCGCTGGACCACTGAAGCGCTTCCCATTCGAGAGGCGATGTCGGTTTAAACCCATCCAGACACTCACATGGAGGCAGGTTGATGGCGTTGCATAGGTTGTTGTTACCGCAGGTTCCATATGTGTCACAATGGTCACCTTGTATGGGATTAGTATCGAGCCAACCCTTCTTGTTTTTGCTCCATATATACACCGTCATCACCCCTGTGTGGGTCACCACTAACCTCGAAATAGTCGAGGCTTCAAGAGATTGGTACCAGAAATACGCATCTTCATCGTTGTAAACTAAAGAGATCTTAAAAACACCCATGTAGTAGAGATCCGACAATGAGTATTGGCCCAGCCTGGTACCATCCCACGTTCCAGTTCTGAACTGTATAGTTTCACCCTTGCGGAGGATTACGGTCGGAAGTCCAAGAATGTCTAGTCGATACGTGAAACTGAAATCCCCCGTGGAGGGATCGTTTTGGGTTCTCCAGGATGTCATATACCATTCTGTTTTTGTTTTCAGGTTCCACCCGAGCTTCATCCCAGGAAGCAGTGTATTGCCGGGATAGTCGAAGCTTTGCCAGATGAAGCTATGGCCGTTCTTCACGACCAGGTTACCGTTGTCCAGGAGCTGCAGGGAAGGGTTCTTGATTCCTGGAGACGATGAAGATGAATTTGAGGTCCAAACTATGTTTGCTTGATTGGTTTGGGTGATGGTTATGTCTCCGGTGGGTGTGAGAATGAGGGCACCGGACAAATCTGGGATTGGGTTATTGTTGTTAGCCACCCAGACCACTGTCTGTTCCGGCAAGTTTCCGAACCAGATTCCGAGGTATCGGTTTCTTGAGGTCCCCGGGCTGAAGAATCCTAGGACAAATGTTTGACTAGCGGAGACAAGCGTTGCGGTTGCGGTTGCGGTTACGCCGTCATCTAAGAGTGTTTGGTTTGTGTGTAAGGTATCAAACGCGGTTGAAAAGTTGGGGATGGAAGTAATAGATATGAAGAAGAAGATGATGATGATGACGAGCATAGTGGAAAATTTGAGGATTGAAATGATAAGAATGAAGATAATGAAGAAGAATATGATGAAGATGATATGAAGAATATTTGGAAACAGACACTCTTACAGGGGCCCAGAGGAGAATAAGATTTAAGAGTATATATAGTAGAATTTTAATCTTTAAAAATTTGAGAGGAGGGACCTTGTTATCTTTCGAGTTGACCGGTTACAAATAATATCACCTTTCATTCTTGAAATAGATTCGATCTTGACTCTGGTCTTAATTAAATAAAAAGGAAAAGTCATAATTCTTCATTTGGAAAAGATTTTTGAATATATAGAATTGAAACTTGTCTTGATATGATCATGTCTAAAGACCCTAGCGGAGGGGATGATCTTGATCAGATCCAAAAATGGCACCTTGGACACGTTACCATGGAAATTTACAGTAGATCCCATGGACACGTTACTATAGCTACATGGAAGTTTATAGTAAATTGTAGAAAGGTAAGACTTTGACCTAAGTGATTCAAACCCGCGTTTTCAGGTGATCAGGATTATGACAAAATATGTAAGGCAAAAATGTTCTTGAGAAGAGGCGGAATTAAATTAAGAGTAATGCACTAACCACCTTGCATTGTGATCTAGTGGCATCAAGTTATTCTCCAATATGAAAAGTTATGAGTTTGAGTTTCAGTAGAAATGATATTGAGTAGTTATGAACAGATACTGCATTGTAACATAGTTAAAAGTAGCTTTTGAGTTAATTACAGTGGAGGCGGTATTTGTAATAGAGTCAAAAGTAGCTTTTGAGTTAATTACAGTGGAGGCGGTATCTGTAATAGAGTCAAAAGTAGCTTTTGAGTTAATTACAGTGGAGGCGATATCTGTAATAGAGTCAAAAGTAGCTTTTGAGTTAATTACAGTGGAGGTGGTATCTGTAACAGAGTCAAAAGTAGCTTTCGAGTTAATTTATAGGTGAAAGTCCGTTTTTAGTCTTTCTTTTTTCAGAACACCACGCTTTAACAAGTGTATTATTGTTCATATTTTTACCCCTTTTTAAACTCATTTTATTTGTGAATTGTCTAAAAATTTGTGTGAATTATAACTAATTTGTGTTGATTTTATTTGAAGGTACAATTATTCACTACAAGTGAGAAATTCAATGATTTTTTGGAAGTTTTGAACAATTCTTGAACCAAGGAATCAATCAATGAGTTTGGATGCATTTTAGGAATTTTCAAACAAGTTTCTTTCCCTTATCTCTTTCCTCTTGCAATGTTTATATTTAATATTACTTGTGCTTTTGTTCTATTTATGCTTATAATGTGTAGTTAGCTTTTGGGCTTGAGTTATGGTTGCTTTATCTATGTATTTTGATGCTTGGTTTGTGCTTATTGCATTGTGGGTAGAATCTTAACCTAGGGTTCATGTGTTTGTGAAGGTTTAATTGTGTTTCAATGTTGCTAATGTTTGATGTACGCATTCTTTGGCATATATTTGGAGGATTTCTTGCCACAACGAGATTGAGTTTGGTGATGAATTCGAGCCACCCCATATATAAACCCAATTTGCTTCAATGAAAATAGGGGAAATTGAGGGTTAAGATGTTTTGTGTGTTTAATTTGATGGACTTGAAATTGATACACCATGAGAGTAGGAGTACAATTTCTTATTCTAATCCTTATTTACTTGCTCACGGAAGTGGCTTTAGACTAGGATACTTATGTCTATTATCGATTGACTCCTTGGTTACTTGTTCTTCCTAATCCCATAAGTTGTTAAAGCATCGAGATGATAACGCTCCCTAGCCTCGTTATGATTGGCTTATCTTCCGGTGCATTTCCTAAGATTAGTATCCAGTTGCTAGTTGTCACCTATTGCGCGTCATAACTCCCAATCCTCTAAAAACAACATTGTACACTCGTACCCTTACTCTCACTCATTTTTGCTACATCAGCCATCTTATATTTTATTTTATTATTATTTAAAAGTAATTAATTTAATCACTAATGAATTGATATCAAACTTTACAAAATAACAATTTGTTATCACTTTACAAAATTTAATATGTTTTGACCGTCAAACACTTATTATGATTTTTAAAATTAGTTTTAATGGTTAGATTTCTAAGTGGGTTCCAACAAAAAAGTTGGACTAAAGGGTTACTGAAAGCAACTCCTTGAACCGTTTTTTGGGCATGTGTGCGCATATTCAAATAGAAAAAGTGATCTCAATTAAGTTATTCAGACAGTAAAATTTAATAATTATAAAATTATAAATTTGACTCTCAATTCCAATTAAATTAGTTAAATAGGTAATTTGCAGAAAGGTTTCCACTTTCCAGTGCTTGGCCAAGCACTAAATTAAACTATTTTTCCAATGCTTGGCTAAGCACTGGAAATTATTTCCAATGCTTGGAAAGAATTTTTGTGCTCGATACGACCGAACACTAAAAGTTTTCCCTGCATATATAAACAATATAATATTTCATTTGTTTATATTATTGCAAAATAATCTGGCTTGGTGATTAAAATTATCGTATCAATACGGGAAGTTAAGATCAGAAAAAGATTTGTCTATTCTAATTGAAAGTGATCAAGTAAATATGATATGCAGGCCCAAATACAAACGGAAAGAAATCAAATGCATGCTGAAAGGGCTCATATACAGGCGGAGCGTTATGCTGTGCATCGTACATGCATGGTGCATACGGATGCAAAAACGACGTCGTTTTGACGTTTAATTTAAAAAAAAAAAAAAATCAGAATTGCATAACTACACATCTATAATTTCATCACATCCATAATTTCATAACTATACATAACTACACATCCATAATTTCATAACTATAAATCCAGAATTGCATAACTATATATCCAGAATTGCATAACTATACATCCAGTATTTCATAACTAAAAATCTAGAATGAATAAACTAAAAAATGATTAACATAATGTTGTTGTTGGGAATCAAAACTGTTTTTTTTTTTTTAACATGTGTATGTGTCTTGCATTGTTGATTTCTGTTTCTTATGTTACTGAATTTTGTACTTAGAATATATTATTAACTACGTACAAATATGAGGAACGAGAAATTGAGAGTCTGTTAAAATTTAAAGTTCAAAACGACGTCATTTTAATCCAGGATCCACAATGCTATGTAAACCCTGGTCCATGATATAAATTATCGTTAATGGAGCTAGTCGGTTTGGTTTCGGATTAATCCTATCAAGCTATAGGATTTATCAATCGTTATGCCATATATGGAACCGTGTTCACCATCCAGGGTGAATACGGTCCCAACGGTAACGGTGCACCGTTATCTTTTTTTTTTTTTTTTTTTTTTTTTTTAATTAACCGCCCTACTTTTCTTCTTCATTTTCACATTTCGCGGTTTCACTTTCTCTTCGCGCAAGTTTCTTCAACATTCATAAATTACGAATGTGCATGCATGGATTTATGAATGTGCAGTTATGAAATTATGAATTTTCTTTTATGAAATTATGAATTTTCTGTTATGAAATTATGAATTTTCTGTTATGAGATTATGAATTTTCTAGCATGCGATTATGAATTTTCTGTTATGAAATTATGAATTTTCTGTTATGAGATTATGAATTTACAGAAAATTCATAATTACATAACTGTAAATTCATAATATCATAACATAAAATTCATAATTTAATAAATATTTTTCTTTTATGCGATTATGAATTTTCTGTTATGAGATTATGAATTTACAATACATTCATAATCTAATAACAGAAAATTCATAATCTGAACAAACGTGCGCCGTTAACACCACATTAACTAAAATATATATATATATATATATATCATAAAATCGACACCGTTTGGACCCGTATTTACCATTCATGATGAACACGTTTTCAGGGCATAATTTGCGCAGATTTATTAGTTTGGCCTATTGGTGAAAATATGCTAGGCCTCTATCAAGAGACCTACAACTTCGCTTATTTTGGGCTTACCTAGACCTAATCCATTTAGTAAAGGCCAAGGTCTATATGTTTAAAGTCTAGCTTACAAGCCTATATGCCTGGGACTCAGTCGTTATATCGTGGACCGCGGTGCATAATCGAATATGCACCGCACATTAAAACGGCATCGTTTCTTTAAGTAAAGAAACGGCGCACTGTTAGTGTTAATGGAGTGACACTACAGTGTATTTAAACGACACTGCCTCACGTATTATTTTTATATTATCAAATGAAACTGCAGTTATATCAAAATGATACTGTAGTTGTGGTGAAATGGAACTGCAGTATATATAAAATGAAACTGGATAACATTTCACATATTTGAGTGTATATTGTTCAATGAAACTGTAATTATATCGAAATGATCATGTAGTTGTGTTTTAATGAAACTATAGTGTATATATAAAATAAAATTAAATAACAGTTTCACATATTTGAGTGTATAAATATTGAATGAAACTGTAGTTATATCGAAATGAATTGAAACTGTAGTTGCGTTGAACTGAAACTGCAGTGTATAAAAAATGAAACTGAAGAACAGAGTTATTTTTTGTGAAACAGCGCGAAACGGATTCTGTTTCTTTTCATTAAATAAAACGACGTCGTTTTGATGTGTGGTGCATAATCGGTGCACAATATAATTAGCCCCTCGGGCACGCATACACACACACACATACATATAAAATTATTATATATTTCACATTTATTTAATACAGAGTATGTTTTTGTAAATACAAAATGAAACCACCTATATATATCAAACCATAAAACCTAAATTCTCAATTTTCAATTTTTACACTTTATCGTCTCTCCCTGTTTCCCTCCTAGTAGACTAGTAAACTCATCCTTACATATTGCATAATAGTAGTGGAGGTGGTGGAGTGAAATGTTTGATTGACCAATAGTTGATCTTGAGTGTTTATCTTAGTTTTCATTTTTTTTTATTTTGATCCCATGAGTTATATGCTTATAACACTTTTCTCCCCTGAGTTATTCATGTATCCACATTTGCCCCCTCAGTTATGTTAAAAGTGACGGATTTTCCCTCTTTTATGTTAGATGGACATTTTCACCCTTAAAATAAGTATTTAGTTTTTTTTCTCCACAAATTATTGTTTATATGTAGGATTGAGTACGGTTCGATTCGAACCTAACCGGACACTATAGTAATCGAACCGAAATAGTAGGGACGAATTTCGTTACGATTTAGAATCGGAATAAAATAAAATAAAATAATTGTTGAATTTAGACTATTTTAAAAATAAAAATACAATTTAAAATAAATAAATAAATTTTGAATCGGCAGTTCAAAATCAAAACCGGAACCAAACTATATCGATTTATCATTTACCAATATTGTTTGATCATTTTCACATTTATTCTGATCTAATTTCACATATAAGTAGATATGATTGTAGTTCGGTTCCGGTTCACAGTTCTGGGAATGATAAATCGTAACTGGAACCTTTTAGGAAGGTTCCAGTTTTGGTTTGAACCGCTAGTTTGGTTCCAGTTCACGATTCTTGAAAATGATAAATCGGAACGAGAACCTTTTAGGAAGTTCCAGTTTCGGTTTGAACCGTTAGTTCAAAATTTATTTATTTATTTTTGTAAATTATATTTCTTATGTTTAAAATAGTCTATATTCAACAATTATTTTATTTATTTTTATTTTTTTCTGGCTCTGAATCGTAACCAGAATTTTCCCTTTTGTTTCGGATCGGTTGCTATAGTGTACAATTAGGTTCGAACCGAACCGTGGTCATCCATGCATATAAACAATAATTTGTTGGAGAAGAAAAATAAATGAAATACTTATTTTTTAAGAGTAAAAATGTCTATCTAACATAAAAAGGGGGAAAATCGCCACTTTTAACATAACTTAGGGGGGAAATGTAGATACATGAATAACTCATGAGAAAAAATGCTATAAACATATAACTCATGAGGGAAAATGTCATTTTTCCTTTTATTTTTTAAATTCGATTGAGGTTAAGGATGTTTGTTGCTGTCACTACATTCACACTTGTTGTGTCTTACGAGTTACGACTGCAACTGTTCGTCTACCATACTATTGTTATATTATATTCAATTCTTTTTTTTTTTTTTTTTTTTTATAAATATGTAAGCCTTATAAAGTGTATAAGGCAAATTATGCCCTGGACCCGTGTCCACAGTGAATTGTGGACACGGGCCCAAAACGACGTCGTTTTTAAAAAAAAAAAACGCGTCATTTAGTTAAAAAAAAAAATTCGCGCGCGTTTTGCCGTTAACGGCGTTATTTTTTTTTTTGATTATGAATGTACAGTTATGCCGTTATGAATGTACAGTTATGCAATTATGAATTTATGAACACAGAGCTCTAACATTATGAACTTACAATTATGAACATATATAGTGATAAAATTATGATCATGGAGCTTTAAAATTGTGAATATAGAGCTTCGAAGATTATGAATGTACAGTTATGGAGTTATGAATCTACAGTTATGGAGTTATGAATCTACAGTTATGAGATTATGAATTTACAGTTATGGAATTATGAATGTACAGTTATTGATTGAATTATGAACAAAGAGCTCTAACATTATGAACTTACAATTATGAACATATAGTGATAAAATTATGAACATAGAGCTCTAAAATTGTGAACATAGAGCTTCGAAAATTATGAATGTACAATTATAGAGTTATGAATGTACAGTTATGGAGTTATGAATGTACAGTTATGGAGTTATGAATGTACAGTTATTAATAATATAGTAATAAAATTATGAACATATATTCCTATAACGAAGCGGTCTGAAATTTAAAAAAAAAAAAAAAAAAAAAAAAAGTTTCAGGCCAAGCCAAATCTATTGTAGGCTCGACAATTTATATCATGAACCAGGGTCCGCATAGCATTATAGACTCTGGATTGAAACAACAAGGTACATAATTAATATGCGTAAGGTACAAAATTTCATAATACGAAACACAAAACATCACAACACAAGACACATAACATAGCATTATGAACCCAAATGGATTGAAAAGACGAGGTACAGAATTCATACTCATAAGGTATAGATCGAGTTTCATAACACAAGACACATACACATAATACATATTTTTTTTATTTTTCAAATATGATTTAGGTACATAATTTGTGTTCATAGGTACAAAATTTCACAACACAAGATAGAAATTCATAAACACAAGACACAATTACTAATATGATCCAGATACAGAATTCATACTCTTAAGATACAAAATCTAATAACGCAAGATACAAAAAGTCACAACACAAAACACATACATATGAACCAGGGTCCATAGTGTAGTGTGAACCATAGTCCATGGTATAAGGAGGGCAATTTATATTGTGGACCAGGATTCACATAGCATTGTGGACCCTGGATCAAAGCGACGTCGTTTTTATATTTAAACTTTAACAGATTCTGTAATTTTCCATTTCTCATGTTTCAACACAATTTTTAATTTATTCTAGGTACAAAATCAATACTCTTATTAAGGTATAGAATTTCATAACACAAGATACAAAAACGCACAACACAAGACATATACGCATGCTATATATTTACTTATTCTCATATCTGATTTATGTATATAATTTATATCCTATAGGTACATAATTTCATAATACAATGCATAAATTCGTAAACTACGACACACAATATGTTGTGTTTTACACAACTACTAATATATTTCAGGTACATAATCCATGCGCTTAAGTTACAAAATTAATAAGAGGATTTGGTCCCGTTTACAAGGTAGTGATGATGGTTTCTCAACTGTACTTTATTGCAAAAGCAATTGGATTGATAATAACCGCTACAAATTGTGTAGGGAATATTAACAGATGGGCGGGAAATAGCAGTAAAAAGGCTATATAGTTTTTCAGGACAAGGAACCGAAGAGTTCAAGAATGAAATCTTGATCATCTCGAAACTCCAGCACAGGAATCTTGTTCGGCTATTAGGCTGCAGCATTCATGGGGAAGAGAAGTTACTGATCTATGAGCATATGAAAAATAAAAGCTTGGATACTTTGCTCTTTGGTAATATCATGTTAGAAACTTTACACTTGTTTAGTTATTTGCCAAAAAATTCTTTTCATTTGGTCAATGGTACATTATCTGAACATATCCAACGAAAAAAGTACACCTTGATTGGGCAAAGCGTTTCAACATAATACAGGGTATAGCAAGAGGACTTGTCTATCTCCATCGCGATTCCTGTTTGAGGATTATTCACCGGGATCTCAAGGCTAGCAATATTTTGTTGGATGAAGACATGAACCCAAAAATCTCAGACTTCGGGTTGACAAGAGCATTCAGGGTGACAGAAGAACTAGCAAATACTCATAGGGTTGTGGGAACCTTGTAAGATTCCTTCTTTATGATCACAGATAAGCTTAAATTCTTTAACTAAAATCACTACTGGAAATTATAGAATTTCCGACCACCTGAAAGTGATCTTAAATCAAGTCAAAAGTCTTGTTCCGAACACTTTTGGCATCCGGAAAGATCTCTGTTGCTATTTCCGACCACTTTTTGGTTTCGACTTGATTTGAGTTTGGTTTCGACTTGATTTGAGATCACTTTCAGGTGATCAGAAATTTCATAATTTTCAGCAGTGAATCTGGCCCGGCTGACATTTTGTACATGAAAATTAAATGCTAAAAGTAAAATTTGATCCTAATTTTGCATGCAGTGGCTATATGTCACCTGAATACGTCATGAGAGGACTATTTTCTGAGAAGTCGGATGTTTATAGCTTTGGAGTATTATTGTTAGAGGTTGTCAGTGGTAGGAGAAACTGTGAAATCCATAACAATGAAGAAAATTTCAGCCTTCTCAATCATGTAAGTGCATGATTTTAGACAATAGATTACACTATTTCACAAGTATGAAATTTATTTTCTAATTCAATTCTTATTTATTCAAGTTTTTTTTTTTTTTTGAACTGTTTAAGGCATGGCAATTATGGATTGAAAGCAGGGAAGTTGATCTGATAGACGAATCAATTTCGAACTCGTGTTCGTTTACAGAAGCACTACGGTGCATAAGGATAGGGCTGCTTTGTGTGCAAGACCATACATCAAACAGACCCACAATGTCAAATGTAGTATTGATGTTGTGCAGTGAAACAGATATTCCTCAGCCAAAACAACCCACTTTCACATTCCAAAGGTTGTTGGATTCTGATTCCAGGTCACACAGCTCCAGAAATGAAATCACTGTTTCCATGACTGAAGGCAGATAGATAGATGTGAGAGCCAATATATTCAAGTTTGTGTTTAAGGTTTCGCAAACATTCAGTGGTGATCAAGACCAAAACCTCATTAAAAATTGTTTGAAAAGTTAAAGAGTAACAGAGAGTTCCAAAGAGCATGAAGAATCTGCCATTTTTTTTTTCTTACTTTATAGGCAAAATTGACTGCCACTCCCCTTTATTCTCACACCTTAAAGCTTGTGATACCCTTATCTACTTTGTCAAAGACATCAACTTTCTCAAGAGGAGTTGCTGACTTCATCTAACAATTGCCCAAAGATTCCAGGGAAAGGAATATGCAGCTAACCATGGCAGGAATATGCACCACAACAGGTATCAATACTAGGCTGCTACCTATCTATTTTCTGAGAGTGGGGGAAAAGTGAATTTCAAGGTACATTAAAGAGATGTATACTCTGTTGCATGAACAATGTATCATGTATGTATATCCGATGTAAACCAAGACCCTACTATACCGTAAAAGCTAGCTCATGACTCATTCGGCCTCACTGGTGTGACTTTCATAACAAATGATACAAACTCAAACTCTGCAAAAAGGGTGGCTAAATGGGTGGAGCATGACTCTCATATTTGAAGGTCACAAGTTCGATTTTTGCCAGTCGAGCCTGTCACACCTCTTCTGTGTAATTTATGGGCTATTACACAAGATGACAAGAGTGGTCTCCTCAGTGCTGATTCTTGCTAGTGATTTATGAGCTACTATACAAGAGTGGGGTCTCCTCAGTAGCACTGATTCTTGCCAGTGATTTCTGGCTAATACACAAGAGTGGGTTCTCCTCCGTGCTAATGTGGGACGATGATGCATCTTTTATTAATAAATTTGGAAAAATATCTTGCTCAAAATAGTCTTCATAATTGGAGACATGACTAAATTTGGAAGGATATCACTCATTTTGGGTAGATAATTCATAATAGGGGAATATGATGAATGAAATGTTAAGCCAAAGTATTTCATTTCAAGAGAAGAGGAATATGCTGCAGATAGGAACTCTTGAGGCTTGCCAAATTTTGAAGGTGGGCATGATTCATGAAGAATCCCATCCATCATCACAACATTAAAGGGGCCCTTATCTTTCAACTTCACATCATTTTCAGTTCTCTTTCTTTATAATCATTTTTAAATGCAATAGGCCCACTTAATACTTTAATTGACTTACTGTACAAACATCCTTTCATACTTGTTATAGTATGTTTAATTTTGTAAATAAAAATATGGGAATTATATTATCCACACACACCATCAATCTATGTAAATTACAAACTGACATGTTCATTTTCATATCATTCTTTAATTTTTTTTTTTCAAATATATGATTATATTGCAAGGATTGTAAATTTGACGTTATGAGCGTTGTGATACCTAAATTTTTAATAAAGTTAAATGTTAATTTTAGTACTTCATTTGTCCCATTTTACCTAACTTTTTTGTGTGTGTTGGGGGGGGGGGGGGGGGGGTGAAATGATAACAAATCGGTAGGAGAGAAATAAGAATCAATTCCAGTCTTATATCTGAAAAATAGGGCGAAAGTACATTGCATGTTTCAATTTTAGAGTTTATGGCTGAGTTTTTGTTTTATTTGACTTAGTGGCACTTATGGTTTAGATTTAAAATTTAGCTTTTTGGATGATTTTATAAAATTTACCAAGTTTGCATATTTTAAGTGTTCAAAGTTTGTATAGTCAAATTGATTTTGGTCATGTTTTTTTTTTTTTTTAGAAATTTCAATTCGTTACCCCTTTTTATCGTTAATTTCAAAAAAAAAAAAAAAAAAAAACTATGTTTCGAATGTACATAAACTCATAACAGAATACACATAATGTAACATAATACATAATACACATAAACTCATAACATAATACACATAAACTCTTAATAGAATACACATAAACTCTTAACAGAATACATAAATTATTAACATAATACACATAAACTTAACATAATAAATACTCCGTATAAACGTTTAACAGAATACACATAAACTCTTAACATAATACACATAAAATCTGAACATAAAAAAACGACTTTGTTTTAGTCAGAGCGCACAATGCACGGTATAACGATTGCTTTAGGTATGTAGCTACTAGCTAGTATGAAATTCTTAATAATCAATTGTCCCAATTTCCTAAACCCTTCTCTACTTTATTGGAACAGTTTGGCCATTTTAACAAGTTAAGCACCACCACTTATTTTCACAGACGCTAGTTTTGACCTAAACACTCCTTTCTCTTTCTCTCTAGTCTCTATCAACAGACTAAACAGATATATATATATATATATATATATATATATATATAGAGAGAGAGAGAGAGAGAGAGAGAGAGAGCTTCGCCGCCCCTCCCCGATTACCATTCAGACTAAACCTCCGTCCAGTCATCCATTCAACGGCGGTTAGACTCCGGCCACCGGCCGTGGCAGATTACCATTTTGCCCATCTCTGAAAGTACCCTTCCCAATCCACATCCAGATCCAGTAGACCTGGTAAATATCGTGTTGTAATATGGATGAAGAAAACGACTTGTGTTCCATAACTACCCCTGTGGAAAATTCGGAGCCTCAAATTTCCCTTGTTTTGTGGCAACCTTAACCGACAAAATCAAACGGCGGTGCCAGATGGCAATTTTGAATCCTTACAATTTCCTCATATTTTTCTCGAGGAAGACGAAAAGTCTTCGACTTATGACAGACCAAAGATTTACGTAATCTTAATGTGTTTTTCCTACATGTAATCCATTTCTTTCCCTTCTCTACTTCTTACAATTGGTCCAATTAGAGCTTTTCACAATTTTTTTTAGAGCTTTTCACAATTTTTTTCTTTTTTTTTGGCTAAAGTGTCATTCAACACTATGAACATTCCTGATTACTTATACTGCACTATAATCTTTAATAAGTGATATTTAGAGCCAAAAACTATAATTTATTTTTCGTCTAAATCTTTAATAAGTAATATTCGACTCAAATAATCAAAAATGATTCATGGTGTAGAATTGATTATGAGTGTCTCAAAAAATAAAAAATTCATCGTAATCCTCAATCTGATATTTTAAATATTTTAGTAAATATTTTAAAATTTAAAGTGTATATAGTAATATATGTATAATTCTTCAAAAAGGCTGAACCCCTACCCTAAGGGCCCCCCACACCCCGGCCCGACAGAGCGGTGGGAGGTTATAAATTATGATGACTCAACTGAACATTAATCACAGAGGCTAAACCGGTGCTCATTGCGCACAAGAAGCCCCCCTCACTTTGAGAGGTTGCTCCCACACTGCCGCTGGTGAGACTCGATCCTGGTCATTCTTCCAAATTAATATATGTATAATTGGATGCATATATAACAGATATTCTTAATCAGGTAATCTTAATCAAATGTCCCTAATTTCCTAATTCGTTATATAGTTTATTGGGGCAATTTGGTAATTTGAATGTGATACTAGTGTCACAAGCTGAGCACCTCCACATATTAATTTTCACAGGTGGAGCACTCCCCTGGTTTTGACCTAAACCTCATAAACCCTTCTCTCTCTGTTTCTCTCTCTACAGTCTTTTAACAGATAGATATAGAGAGAGAAAGCTTGAAAACAGTTAAAGCAATCCACAGGGATAAAGGGGAGATGGCGACAAACCAGTTTCCGGACGATTTCCGGTGCCCGATTTCGCTCGAGATTATGTCCGACCCGGTTATTCTCTCCTCGGGTCACACCTTCGACCGGTCGTCTATTCAACGCTGGCTGGACTCCGGTCACCGGACTTGCCCGATTACCAATTTGCCCATTTCCGACCCGCCCTGCCTCATACCAAACCACGCTCTCCGGAGCCTTATTTCCAATTATACCCTCGTCTCCTTGCCCGTGCCGCAGGCGGACCCGCAGGCCCTAATTCAGACCCTGATTTCGAAATCCGCTCCGGTGGACTCTAAGCTCAGCTCGTTGGACCAGTTGAGCAGGCTCTGCAAGCGGGATTCGGCGATTCGTCGCCGCCTGAGCGAGTCCGGCGGCGTCTCCGCCGTGCTGAACTGCGTGGACGCGGATGGGGACTCCGGGTTACAGGAGAAAGCCCTCCACTTGCTCTTAAACTTGAGTTTGGATGACGATAATAAGGTGGGGTTGGTTGCGGAAGGCGTGGTGGGGAAAGTCGTGGCCGCCCTCCGCGTCGGCTCCGGTGACTCTCGGGCCGTCGCCGCCACCGTGCTGACGAGCCTGACGGTGGTGGAGGTGAACAAGGCGACGATTGGAGCCTACCCAGACGCGATTCCCGGTCTAGTTTGGCTTCTTTGGTACGGGAACGCCCGGGAAAGAAAAGAGGCCGCTACTGCTCTCTACACGCTCTGTTCATTCCCCGATAATCGCCTCCGGGCAGTGGAGAATCACGCCGTGCATATTCTTATCCAGAATTCAAACTCCGGCCTCGAACGAGCGGTGGAGGTTCTGGGATTATTATCAAAATGCAAAGAGGGTAGACAAGAAATGATGAAATATGGTGGTTTCTTAGACACCTTGCTGGAGTTCTTGAAAAATGGATCCTCCAGAGGCGTCCAATACGCCCTTTTGACGATTAACATGCTGTGTACTTTCAGTGAACATATGTGTATAGAGGCCATTAGAAAAGGGGTTTTTGAAATTTGTGTTCAACTATTGGAGGATGAAAATGAGAAGGTGAGAAGAAATGCCAATACTTTGATTCAGGTTTTGCAGGGGAAAAAAGGAGTCTTTAGTAGAAATGGAATGTCTTGACTGTGATTTCATGGAGCTCTGATCCTAAACTAGAGGTAAGTTGGGATTTCCTGAAACTTTTTTTTTTTTTTTTTCTTTTCCCTTTGTACAAAAAGATCAGAATTTGAAGGAGAAATCTTGTTCTTTGTTGTATATTTATCAATAAACATGATATGTGAAAGGGCTTATGCGTTCGCTGTCTCTTTGCTGTGTTAGAGAAGATTCAAAATCATTTTTTGACAAGTCTTTTACAGTTTTGCTCTTCTCAAGTTTTGCTAATTGTCCCAGTATCTATGTCTGAGGACTCAAACAGGAAAGGAATTACCACAAAAGAAGAAAGTATTGTATTCACTATTCAGTGATTTGATCATTGGAAATTCGACGTTTACATTGTTGTTATGTTTGTCATTAGTACTAATTGTCTATTTTCATTGCTTTAGTTTAGTGATAATCCCTGTTTTATTACCATTACTTTAATGGAGGATCAATAGTTTATCTAGAGCCATAATGCCTAGGCATAGATATTACTAACATACGGTTTTCTTCCTTATTTCATAGTTCATACAAGCCCCGATGCATTTCCCTCCTCTCCTTTTTCTTGTCCTTTAGTTTTTTGGACGAGGCTGTGGGGTTTGGACGGATTTGGTTAAGAAAAAAAGGGGTCACGGGCTTGTGGTGGCGTTTTTACTCAAATGCTCATAGACGTAATTGGTGATCTAGAACATAGAAGTTGGAATTTCCCAACTTGGTTTCTCGTAGCCTCCAATTGCACGAAAAAAAAAAGTTTTGGTACATGTGTACAACTTTGAAGCCCCATATGCTTCCTTTTCACAAGATAAAAGTTCTTTCTTCTCCTAGGCATCATTCATTGCGATTGGCTTCTAATGTTGAACCGCTTATCATCCATCTTGCAACACAAATAGCGTATACGCAAGACATGTGTCAAAGTGCTTCCTTGTGTGCATTCTATTTCCTTGTTACAACTTCATGTTCTTTAACTACTTTTCACACGTTTTTGTCCAAGTTGAGAAGTTCACATGACTCGACTTTTGCATTATATACAAATTTGTTTCTCAAGCAAGTTGTGAATGATCCAAATCCCCTTTCTCCCCCCTCCCTCTCTCTCTTCAAGTTTAGTAGGCACAAGGCTGAGAAAATTTGTATATAGAATCATAATCAGGTGAGAACCAACTGTAACTTGCGAACTTCTGAAGGATCGTATCCGGGTGCAGTGCAATCATACAGTAAGTGTGGTGCAATCTTTCAGAAGTTCGCAGGTTCGCACATTAAGGTCAATTTGCACCTGGACCTATATATATATGCTTGGTGGAGTTTGAGATTTGGATAATTTTGAATATGGTACTTATGATCTTCATTTTATTGGCTATGGAATTGTGTTCTTGATGATCTTTGAAGGAGTTTTTTAATTTTCATCCCTCTGAGCAGCCCCCACCATGTACCACATATTTCTTCTGACAGGATAAACTTTTATATTGAAAAGGGTTAGTCCATCCATAGCTTATCCAGATATTGGACTTGTCAAAATCACTAAAAAAAAATAATATTGGTTGGATGCACCTACCCTTGAGTGTTGTATATAGAATACACATTTGCAGATTACATACAATATTTATATATAGAGATAGATGTGTGCAGTGCATTGCAGTGTATATTTTATGGCATTATAAAGAGTCAGAAAAGTTTAGGTGAGCAGAACCTCACCATTGCCAGATTATTCCTTTGCCACTATGGGAAGCAACCAAGTGGAAAGAGGTGATTAAGAATTCCGGAATAAGAGGAAGCTGCATACTTGATTGGTTGACCCACTTTTTTCATATCATGTCTGCATTAGGTTTGTCCTGGTTCATTATTTCTTTTCCTTTGTTTTTAACCTTTTAATATTCGGTAGTCATATTAAATTATAACCAAGTTAAGTTTAAGACTCGAAGACGTTAACTTGAATTTAAGTGAACTCGTTTAAGACTCGAAGACGTCACTGCTGGAAATTATGGAATTTTCGACCACCTGAAAGTGATTTTAAATCAAGTCGAAAGTCTTGTTTCGACCACTTTTGGTATTTGGAAAAACCTTTATTGCTATTTCCGACCACTTTTTGCTTTCGACTTGATTTAATATCACTTTCAGGTGGTCGGAAATTCCATAATTTCCAGTAGTGCGTTAACCTAAAGTCGAGTTAGGAGTTGTTGAGCTCTTTTAAGACTCGAAGACGTTGACTTAAAGTTGAGTTAGGAGCTGAGCGCGGTTAAGACTCAAAGATGTTAACTTGACGTTAGGATAGGAGTTGAGCTTTGTTAAGGCTTGAAGATGTTAACCTAAAGTCGAGTTAGGAGTTGAGCTTTGTTCAAACTTGAAAACATTAACCTGAAGTCAAGCTAGGAGTTGGGCTTTGTTAAGACTCGAGTCGAGCAGGATTAAAATTCAAAGACGTTACTTAAGAAGAATCTCGGTTATAGGTTGTTTGTGGATTAGGTTTGTCTTTTGTATCAACCTTAGTTTGCCGGCTAGAAAGTGGGTTGCCACTATTTTAAGATAGTGGATAAACACAATAGATTATATGACTTTTCTTCTTAATTGGTTGTTAACTTTTTTTTGTTTTTGTTTTTGTTTTTGTTTATATTTGTATACAATCTGTTAAGGCAACTTCAATGGCATAAATAGATGCCCTTTCTCTATCTTTTTCACAAGGAACCCATCATGATACCCCCCCCCCCCCCCCTTCTCATGCCACCCCAAAGTAGGAGAAAGGAAATGGAGGGATAATGCAACATGTCTGTTGTTTTGACATGAAAGTGTACACACAAACCCAATAGCAAAAAGCCTCTTAACTCCTCCATTGACCATTACTGGTTAAGAGAAGCAGGATGGGCCTTTTGGTCACTTTGCAAGTTGGGTAGATGGTATGAGGTTGGGCTATTATTATGTGGGAACATGGCAGTCATTTGATTATTGTAGGGAACAACATGGATGGGATGCCCTTCAAGTACTTATGGGGGACCTAGCACGAGAATCGATAAATTGTTCAATAAATATTCATTTTTAGTATATTGTAAATTTATTTTTAATGTATTACACGTTCATTCTAATTTGCAATCACTAAAAACGAACCTGCAATAAGTTAATAGTAACGCAGGCTTAACTCTACATGTATATATACATGACAAACGTAAGATGCCATCAAGCACAACTTAATCGATCTGTTAATTCAAAAAAGTTACTCCATAATAGTTTTGTTTCGCTGACAACCGAAAGTTATATGAAATTATACAGGTGTCCGCATGGGCAACTCAACTGCTCATAGAGGTGAAAAGTTGGAAAAATGACCAGAGATCGAGTCTCACCAGCGGCAGTGTGGGAGCAACCTCTCAAAGTGGGGGGGGGGGGGGGGGGGGGGGGGGGGGGGGGGGGGGGGGGGGGAGGGGAGGGGAGAGGGGGGCCTTGTGCGCAGGGGGGGAGGGACAAGGGGTCTTGTGCGCAGTAAGCAAAGGTCTAGCATCTGTGGTTCATGTTTCAGTTGAGTTACCATGATTTACATCCTCCTAGATGCTCTGTCAGGCCGGGGTGTGGGGGGTTCTTAGGGTTGGGTTCAACCTTTTGGAAGAATTATACTGGTAAAATATTTCAATTTCTAATAATCGTTACTCTCTTTTAGTTGTGACTCATTGTTGATAGACTACTCGAGACTATCAAGTACATTTGACTATAACATACAAGATCCATATGATGTTTTGATCCAAAACCGAGTCATGTGTTTTCCTAAGATGATGAAAGAGGAAAGGAGATGTCAGCATTTCAATGGCAGACTTAGTGGTGATCCATCATGTTATCCTTCTAAAAGCCCAACATTCACTTATGAACGCCATTTTCATAATGGTGGAGAAATTAATAATGGAAGCTTCTCTGAAGTGATTTCCATTTCAACTAAAAGTGTAAGCTGATAGTTGGATTGCACATTTATGTTTATATACTCTATTATATATGCTCAACATATATTTGTCCTCTAACTTAAGATTAGTTTAACGTAACGATTAGAATATGTAAAAATTTCATAGTTAAGAATTTTATTGTACGAAATTAGAAGTCGTAAATTAAAGTGGTAAAATCAGTATAGTTGGTAGAAGATTTAGATGGAGAATTAAATCTTTAGTTTATCACTAGCAAGAGTGCATGTGATTAATTATAACAAATTAAAGATGCTTTTAAAGCACGTACAGCATGACATGAATTGAGAGTGGATAGAACTATAAGCATGCTTCAAGCAAAGGCCATTATAATTTGTGGGGTCATCCAATTAAGCTTATATTAGCTTCTAATTACCAAAGTTGATTTAATTTATACTTAACAACATTAATTATTATGGTTAATCATTTCTTTCAATTCAAACCATACTATATATAATGGTGTCTGCTTTTTGTTTACCCATCAGTCTCCAATCAATCATCGTTATAAGTAATTAAACTAACAAAGTTAACAACCATGTACCAAACACTTGTACAAATTTAAGCCACCACTCATCGTACATATCTGTAAAGTGAAGTTAACAAAAACCTAACATAATGTAACGTAACCAAGAAGCAGTAAGCTAAAGGCACAGAAAGTAACATGCAAATTCCAAATGTTTTCATGAGGTTAAGAGGTGGATCTATACTTGTTGAGGGGAGGTTTGAAGGGTCGAGTTCAACATCTTGTTATTGAAATATGAGGTTGACTGTTACGTAAATATAAAAAAAAAAAAAAGTTGTGTATTCGTTATTAGTTATAACTTAGGAGGGATAAGAGCTTAATCCTAACAGTTCATATTATACAAGAAGAAAAATCAAATTACCTACAAAAAAAAAAAAAATACTGGTAAATTATTGAAATTCATATGTATTTAGGGCCCGTTTGAAAACTCGGAAAGTGATTTTTGGAAGTCATTTTCTGAATTTTCAGTGTTTGAGTACTCAATGAAAATGAAGTCAAAGGAAAATATTCATTCTGGTCAACAGAAAAAAAATCCAATTTGGCAGAAAACGTCTTCCTAGTATTTTTGACAGAAGACATTTTTCAAAATTTTTATTTTCCATCTCTCTTCCCTCTCTTCATTTTGAAGTTAGTTTTTGGAATATTATTATTACCATCACCACAACCACCAAACCACCACAATATCACCACCACCACCACGACCAACACCAAAACCACCATCGCCACCGATACCATCACTACCACCACCACCACCACTACCAATACCAATACCAACACCAACACCAACACCAACACCACCACACCTTATTATAACAAATAATATGTTTTTTTTTTTTTTTTCAGGAAAATGGACCAAACATAAAAAAATGCAATTTCTTAAATTTCAGCCAAACATAAAAA